ATATTGGTGTTTAGCCACTCAGTCAGTGGTACGTTGTTGTGGCACCCTAGGAAACTAATACAGACCCTCAGACCTCCCCTCTTTTCTATATTCACTCCTTACATGGCCTCATCTAGATCATGGCTTTAAATACCATTTCTATGCTGATGCTTCCAAAGGCAAGTCCCTCTCTGTGGACTCCTAGCCTATCTAGTCAACCACCATATCTACAATCGCCTCTTGGAAGTCTAACAGACATCTTCAATTTAACATGTATTGGTGTATTATATAAGCGCAACCAACTCATGCCACGGTTAAAACAGACTCTACTTCTAGTTTCTTACCAGCTCTTTAAAAATTGTCAGTAATGTTCCCTTGGTCTTAGTTATGAACATCAGCAGCCCACAACTTTTCTGCTCACCCTTGGATATTAGGAATATTCAATGGTTACATTAGGTAGCAAATATAGTCTCATTCAGAAATTGGAATGGTCCAACTTGATTTAATGTCAGATCTTTTCTCAGGTCTGATTTAAGCTGGAAACAGCTGTGGTAGACAGAAAAATGATTTGCTTGACACTGGGGATTCTGGTTGGAAAGTTAGACAGCTAGTGAAGATTTGGGATATGTTATACATCAGCTCAGACTAAACCCATCTAGTACATTTTGTGAACCTCTCAGGTAAATGAAGTAAATAAATTCACCTCTTCTGTCTCTTTAGAAGCAAGAAGCCAAATTTTGATTCAAAGAGGGTATGAAACTCATCCAAGATTGTACAAGGTGTAACCAGTAAATTCAGGACTTGAAAAATCTGTTGAACTTCAAAGCTCATGAGCTGTGATCTCTACTAGTGTTTTTCAAACTGGGTTTCTTGGAGCACTAGGATAGTCCAGGCCATATATGGGGGTTGGAGGTGGGTTTGGAGGGGGGTGTTTTAATTTTCTAGGGCTGCTGTAACAAAATACTACAAACTGGGTGGCTTAAATCAACAGAAATTTATTATCTCACAGTCCCAGCTTTTGAGGGCACAGATTCGAAATCAAGGTATTGGCCCCTGCTGGCCATGCTCCCTCCAAAGCCCTTAGGGGAGGACCCTTTCCTTCCTCTTGCAGTTTCTTGTAGTAGCATATCTCCAATCTCTATCTGTCTTCACATGGCTGTCTTCCCTCTGTGTTTTGGTCTTCACGTGGCTTTTCCCTTCCTGTGTGTCTCTCTCATCTTCTTACTATGGACACTAGTCATATTGGATTAAAGGCCCATGCGACTCTGGTATGATTTAACCATAACTTAACGCATTACATCTGTAAAGAACCTATTCCAAAATAAGGTGACATTCACAGGTAGCAGAGGTTAGAATTTCAGTAGTATTTATTTTGGAGAGACACGACTCAATCAACATCAGTGGTGACATTCACAGGTAGCAGAGGTTAGAATTTCAGTATTTATTTTGGAGAGACACGACTCAATCAATATCAGGGGTGAGAAGAGGCCATGTGAGTGGGTTCTCATCTTATTTATTTATTTAAATAAATATTTATTGTTCAGATTATTACAATTGTTCCTCTTTTTTTCCCCCAGAGCTCTCCTCCACCCGGTTCCCACCCCACCCTCTGGCCTTACTCCCCCTCTTCCCCCAACACTGTCCTCATCCATAGGTGTACGATTTTTGTCCAGTCTCTTCCAGCACCCCCACACCCCTTCCCCCCCCGAGAATAGTCAGTCCACTCCCTTTCTATACCCCTGATTCTATTATATTCACCAGTTTACTCTGTTCATCAGATTTTTTATTCACTTGATTTTTAGATTCACTTGTTGATAGATATG